CAAGCCGTCAGACGAGACACGTCATGCGAATGAATACGTGTCCCCCTTCATTTTTAATTGTAGAATCATGAAAATTACTGTTTTCTCAATGCATGAGATAGAATGAAATTCGCCGGTTGATTTATTTCGGGGAATGACGAAGATGCGGCTGAATGATTAGGTGACACTTGGCTGAGACTACCAGCGAATGTGAGATTGAATCATTCTATCAGAGCTCAAATAATTAGACTGTCAGTTGGTTATGGAGTGAACGATTTGCAATGAATTTGTGGGTACTCAATCAAAATCTAATTCACGTGTCATCCCTAAAATTAGATATTGCGTAATGCATTTGGATGGGGAGTTGGTGAATGCTGCTGTAGAAGCGTCTTTCCGCTACAGGGGCCAGTAATAATGGCGTTTTATTTTCATCGACATCCATCTTCGTGAGGTGCAGTCGGCGTCGTTGGCCTCAGCCGACGGTCAGGGCTGGGTTTCCTGACAGAGACTGATGTTCACACGCGCTGTAACCCCCGTCCGGCCCCTCCTCTGGCCCCTCGTGGAACCCAACCCCCTTTATATACCACTGATATTGGCCCCGTTGCACTCACATTCCGCCAAGTTAGACATCAAGAGTGGGTATAGACGTTGCCTGATTTATCACTCGCCGCTCAATCATGAAATGAGTCGCCATATTGCGGCGCCCTAACCTCTCTCTCCCTCTTTTTATCGTGCCTCGTTCAACACAACCCCGTACTTCTCTCTCCGTTGACCCCTTCTGACGGGGCCAGCGGCCATTAGTCACCCATCGTCGGAGATCGCCCTCCAACTTTGACGCGTTATCAGCGCTCATTAATTCACCCCTCCCTCTCACTACCCCTTGCCACCCAGCGCGCAATCAATCTCACTGAAATCACTTTGATTCATCGTAAATTCGGGGTTTTAGTCTCCCAGCCTCATGTTTTTTAATTAGTGGATTTCGAGTATGAGGGAGCATTTGCGCGTCAAATGGATTCTATATTGGATTTGGTTTGTGGATTGTTTCAATGTGAATAACCAATTTTGGTCTAGTGGCAGCTCGATCTGGTGTAATAAGAGGATAATTATTTGGGATTTGTGAGAATTCAATGGAAAATCAATGTGACGCAATTTAAATATTCTCTATTATTGCGAAATTATATATTCACGATTTTCGTTCCTTCAAATTTTTTTTTGAAATCTTCAACGACGTCGTAGAATATCTATGAACGATAATTAATTCTGCGGAAAGAACCCATATTTTACAAATACGAATATTTCGAAAAATATTGGTATAATGATGATATTGATATAATGATAATGATAAATTAAATCATAAATCGTGTTCTAACTGGTGTTAATAGATATATTTCATTCGAATCGATGTTCGAAAGTGAAATTTCACAGATAACATTACTCTTCACTATTTTAAAAAGCGACGAGTTTAATTATAAGGGAGCATTGTCACTCATCACCGATTCAATGTTGATTTCCACATTATTAATAGCCCAAGACCATTTTCGACGGTTTTATGTCCCCCTTCAACCGGGGCTGTAAATATTAGCGCGGTTCCATTGAATGACCATGAGGGTTGACACTGGTAACGAGAGAGTTCCACTCTCTCATGTTATACCCCCATGGACACGCTCAATCCCTCCATTTATCACTGACAATTATATTGCTGAACAGTGACGAGTTTCAACTGATGGTCATCTGTTTTCGTCCCCCTGACACTTTTCCCATTTCCTGGTATAGTGAAACGGGCGTTCAGCATTCATCATCAAAAATATTCAATGTATTTCTTTGAAAAATTATTGATTCATGCATCATGGATTACGATCAGATAAAATGTTTGTGTACATTGGAAATAATGACAGGGTAGAGGAGAATTCCTGATGAATGACAAATGACTCTTTCAAAACAGAATGTTACTGAGTGTTTGTTGTGTCTCTTGTGTATTGCACGTCGATTACAATTTTATGGGGCAAAGAGGAGATCGGTTGGGAGGATTTGCTACGGGGTCCAAACTCTCCTGTGCGATACTCCAGTGGGATTTGCTGGGTAAGGACCAGGGGGGTCTTATCCCCCGTCATCAATACCCGTCGTACCGTGACAATTGACGCGATTTCTCGGTGACCCCGGAGAGACCACCTGGATCACTTTGAATAATTACTTGGCTATCAAATCTCAACGTATTTTGTGGCTTGCTCCGGATGTTGTTCGGTGATTTCCGGTAAATCCTTGATATATGAAAAGGAACGACCGTGTGAAGTTGTTTTATATCTGCTGTCAGATCATCCTAATTATCACCCGGAGAGAGAAATAACAGGAAAACAATTCAATTACATGCTTGGGATGAGATGGGATTATAATCAATCAAGCCATTGATTCCGCCTCAAATAAATCGTTATTTTCCATGAGCATATATCATTTACTGGTATCGGTACGAATTCTTCGTTAAATAGCTTATCGATTTGAAATACTGTCCGTAAATGACGGATCCACGCCATTTAACTTCGGAAAATAGAAATAGAAATTTGTGACAGTAGAAATACAAAAGCGCGAACAGAAAATTACGGAAAATCGATTTAAAAAATTGAGTGTCGAGTCTAAAATAATCAATTCTCAAAAGATCGATATTGAATTCGAAAGTCTTATAGGAATCAGTATAGTCCCTCGATTTGAACCTAAAAATTGGAAATTTCAGGGTGGATCCAAAGTTTCCGTTGGTTCGGAAAAATGGAAAAATTGAAACAAAATTGAGTGTCATTTTGCGGCCTATCTGGCTGTACTTGATGGGCGCGGGAATCATGAATGAAGTGTCAGTCTTGCTGGTGGAGTGTCCGATCGTAACGACATTGAAGTGACGTTGGACGATGCCCTGTCTCACCGTATATTCCCGTCGCTCCTTTTGCCATCGCCTCCCTCTCTTGTCCCGGGGCTGACATGCAAACCGGGGATGTAGGTGGATTGTATGAGTGTGTTGCTTAGGCAGGTGCTCGTCAGTCTCTGACAATGTGGTATTGACAGGTACGAAATGAGAAACTGCTTGATCGACTGAAAATTATAAAAAAAAAGCGAAACAAAATAATAAAACCCGTCGGCGAGGCTTTTCCATCTCCCCTACTACCACCCGCTGCCATTCTCTACCGCGAATGCCGGTGGTATTGATCAGAATTGAAAAATGTCAGCTTCAATTTATCAACAATTTCTTAATACTTCATTCGTTCGTTCCATTTTTAAAGTTTTATTTTTCAATTAAAGTTTTGTAATCTTTCAAATTTGAGAACGATCGAGCGAGAATGAGATATAGGGGCGAGAGGGCGGGAAATTAATTTTCATCACTTTAAATTTAGTAAAATGCAGAATTTCATAGTGGCTGATTATTATTATTTAAATATTAGAACTTGAGTCTCAAATCGTCATATCTAAATTGAACATTAAATTAACAGTAATTCGAGAAAAAAAAATTCTGGAATTTTCCTGAAAACGAATGTCCGGAGCATTTCGTTGTAATGGCAAACCAGATTCAATTACTCCCATATAATTAAATAGAATAAATAATAATTAAAAGAATGATGAAAACGCTCTTATGATTGAATTGGAGAAAATGGCGGCAATTAACTACAATAATCCCGATCGTTTGAATCGCTCCAACGATTCCAATCCACTCGGTAGCGTATTGCTAATTAATTAACGAGACAATAATGCAGAAAAAAAAATGGAGGAAATACTGGTTAATTTGGAATTTCACGGGGAATATTCGCACGGCGTGTAGTAAAGCCAGAATAAAGGCAATAGTCCACTAGTTTCTCCTCATATTGAGGCTCGCCGTGGAGAGGTGGTCCATATGGGAAAAAAAAATGATTAGCGAATGGACAGGCGCGGTGGGCGTGCAAGACAGCCGCGATACATCCTCGTTAGAGAAGCCGTCAGTCGGCGAGTGAGTTTCACATTTTTTAACGGTAGAACTCCCATCTGACAGACGTCCAACCACATTAACGCCTAAAAACAATATGCACTCGCTGTGCTTGGGTGAATTGGGTTTCGGTGGAGAATAAAAAATGGCAAAAAAAAAAGGCGGAGGAGATGAGTACCAGGGACACACACTCGCCCTCGTCACTGGATAATGTCATACGAGGCGACGTAACGTGTTCCTTTACTGTCGTTGCCTCTGTACACCTCGGTGGGATTCATGTGTCAAATTAGTTTGTCATACATTCGATGAACAATGGACCGTTTTTTTTAAATGGGCTTTTAGGTGTGATTTGATGAGACAAAATCTGTCTTTCCCCGGAATTATCCGGTTTTCGGTAATTAAGGGGTATTCCGTGTGAAACTGAAAAAAATGCAAAATGACAAATTTTTTACATAAATAATTATGAAATAATTATTTTATTGGAATAGATGTGATTTTATTTAGTTAAATACAGCAATGAGTTTTTGGTGAGTTTGTTCAGCTAAGGTAGGGGTCCATAGTGGTTGTTATTCAATTTCCTGGAAGAATTAATTAATGTTAGTAATTAATTATTGATCAGTGGTACTCATCAATGCCAATACTCTATGCGAACTTAATTTATTTAGGGGGTAATTGATTATTCATAATTATTATTCATTATCTTCATATAGTCAATGATATATCGTATTGAGATTAAATTTTAATATCCATTTTTGTAGACAAGTTGAATGATTCGGATGGTGTTAATTATCAAAAAAAAAATTTGAAATTTCACGGACTTTCAAAAAAAATCGATAAATTCTAGTCATTCTTTCGAAAATTACTACCAGTCGTGTCTGAAGTCTCATATTCAAATAAAAATTCAATGTCAATAAAGTTGAATTTTTAAACAAAATTTTAAAATTATTTTCAACATAAAATAGTTCACATCGGAATTACGCAATTCTCTCGTAATTCCTCCAATTTATTTCTCACCGGGTGAACGACGGAAGGGGTTTTCTCAGTGATTCCGAAAAGTTTAATTTAATGAATACAAAGTACTCACTTCCAGGTTTGCCCCACGGCCCAGATGGCAGCTTAGGATTGAAGGGTCCTTGTCCAGGGAATGTTGGGATTCCCCCATTGCCCGGTCTCCTGTGCTTATCCACGAATGGAGAACCAGCAACAGCCATGATGACCGCAACGAGGAACAACAAGACAGCGGTGAATTTCATGATTGCTCCTGAGAAATTATCAATGAATTCTCAATTAAAAATCAACACTATCCAAGACACCCACAAAGTACTTACAATTCGTTTCGATAGATCGGTAACGACTGACATTTCCTATCAGACCGTCTCCTTATATACTCAAATGATCTCACCAGCATTCACAGCGCATCCACAATCCGGGGAATACCCGTGCGAATGCGCGAGGCTTATCAGTTAAATGAAGAACCGCAATATCGCAAGACCTCAAAGACCTGCACAGACTCATCCCGGGGAACTCCGGAGACAAAGACAGACGCAGTGATTCCCCAATGCGAATATTCTGTTTATCCAACTGTCTTCAACAGTGAAGTAAAGTGAACTGTGACGCAATTAAATCAATCTCACCTCATTAAAAGTCTCTTCCCCGGAGTTAATCTTCACGATCAGTTATCTTGTGATTTAATCCCGCAATTACTCGTCTCGTCCCACCACCTGTGGATTTTTCAATTGAAAAACCATAATCCCATTTTTTTAAACTACACTAGACTCCCGTTGTAGCGCGTCCTTGGGGCTGTAGGGGAAGCGAATCTGACTATATGGAGCTACCCCACCATGCGCTCGCTTTTTTTCACAGCTAATTCGGAGACGAGCGAAATTTCATTTTCTGTTTCATTTTTTAAGGAATTCAATTACTTGTAGGACGAAATCATGGATTGTCGTTTATACCTTTAAACCCGCAGATAGAAGAAGAGGGCAAGTCTAACGGGATTTTAGTATAAAAAATTTCGCGTTTATATCGCTCGCTGTAAAGGCAATCACAACAAAAATCATTATTATCTCTATTATTATTATTATTATTTATTATTATTACTCGCTCTCGAGTAAGAGCAGCAAGCAGCAAGAGATGATTTTATTTGAGTTGATTTTTCCAGAATGAAATCACTCGGGACGAATTCACCGAAAGCCCGGTGGTCTGATCAACCGAGGTCCAGAAATCACGCAATAATTCACACCGACAGGATAATCCAAAGCCGCACATATAGCCCCCCTCATTCAGTCCAAAGTGGTTGAGACAGGGGTGTATAATGGGGTTACGTAAAAATGGATTAAGAGTTTGTTGAAGGGTCTTGGCGTGGAGTTGGAGACACGTATGCGTGATATTCTCGAAGCCACATGGGGTCCGTTTTTTGGTTAAGGGTTGGCACGAGGTGCCTTTGGTGGTGATTGCAAGAGTAGCGACAAACGAGAGTTGACGCGAAATGACACACTGCGCGGCTGCCATTTCGTGCAGCATTTTTGTTTTTCTCCCCGAGATGGAGAGAGAGAGATAACAGAATGCTGAATGCAAAATGGTGGATGGGGGAGAGAGAGAGATTGGTGAGAGAGGGTTTTTCGGGAGATATTATCCACTCGCGTCGTCGCAACGTAAATAGAGAAAATGAGAAAACGTCTGTCGGAGTGAGTACACGCCTCGGTTCGTGCTTGACAGTCTGTCAGGGCTCTGCACGATCCGGCGTGTCAACTCTGTCTAACCTGCATGCCATGTCTGGCGAGCGACAAATGTCCTTTTGAGGACTTTTCAACTGAGGGGAAAATCTTGTTTGAATTCTTTCGGCGGGGGTGATGCATGGGAATGTATCAATTTGCGGTGGTAACTGGGTCGAGAGATTGTGGGAGCTTTCATGGGGGATCAGGGATTTGTCGAGAGTTTATTTTATCTATACTCACCATTGAATTTGGAATTTTTTTCCATGGGCCGTTGACGCTGCATGACATTCAAGCGGTGTCTTGACAATTTCGAGTGATAGCCGTATCAGCTCAAGCACCTTTTTTGTTCTCATGAAATTAGTCACACTCTAGTTTTTTCTTTTATTACTTTTTTACGCCTTTTTATCGCGCGATTGTGTGAAGCACTATCTGCTACAATGAAGAGTGACAGCCTGAGTATTTATTGATAACGTTAACCACAGGCATTTATGTGACAATAGTATATGAATATTATCCACTATTTGCAATAGTGAATGCATTGACAAAAAATAAATTGATGTTTACAAAAAATGAAAAAAAAATGATAGTATCAGACTGATAAATCTGAAGGCTGGTTGAAATCTAGCTCTTGAAAAATAATTCTCCCACGAATTGACTCTTGACCAACAAGGTCATCTCCTCTTCAGAATTAATCACCAATACTTTGCAAGCAACACGATTCACCGAGGCGTGGAGCGATAGCTCTCTCTGCCCTCATCCGAGTCCTCGGCCCGTTGGCTAGCAATAGGATTAACTGAACTGGTTCCATCTTCGGATATTCTCCACCTCGAGAGATCGATGTGGGATACCACCTTCGGAAGCTCTGGACGCCAGATATCCGGTTATCCCGAGCTAGCGTACATCCTGACCAAGTCAGGGAAGACGTGATGAACTCAGCTACATCACAATCTTCACCCGCTCCCTCGAATCCAAGCCATCGAACCACACAATCCCCGTCGGCGCAAAATCCCCCGGGTCTGTAAGGATTGAATTAGCAAGGTTGCCACTGTGATGGTCGCTCGGAGGCAATTGCACCACTCCTTCTCCACTCCTCCTAATCCTCATGATCTGACAACCCTGCTTGACCCCCTCGACGAAAGAGCGATCGGTGCCTTGTAAAATGTCAAATCCATTGGTGCTCGTGAAGGGAATGAGCAGTGAGGAGAATTAATTTACCCCGGTTTCATGATTTATGGTGGTGTTGCTGGTGTTCTGGTGAGGTAGAGATGGTACCAGTGTATACTTTGGGTTACCTCCAGCTTGTGCGCTAAACGAGGCTCTTATGAAAACCACCACAAAATACACGTACACAAACAAGAGTTACCCCGTAATCTCAGATGATTATGGTTATGAACTCTGGGTGAAAGATACGAGCGAGTCATCCCCATTCTCCACCTCCTGATCCTCATCTTGTAAACGGGGAAAAGCCCCGGAGGTATATGAAGCCGGTGTGCGGCTCTTTGGGCTTGGAAGGTACTATCGTCAGATCGTAAATGGCATGAGGATATAACTGCCGGAGGAGGTGGATATATAACAAGCAACGAGTGATTAATGCAGAGGCCCCGCTTCCTATAACTCTCGTTATAATCCCCACCGAAAAAGGGTGGCACAACGTTGGTTATGTGTGGATTATGTGTTATACGGTTGGACGAGAAAATGGTATTCTAGTATTAGAGGTGTACGTAGAGTCACGCATGACCCCACTGAGACCTCATTCTCCGGTAATTTACCTTTGAGCAATTATGGAAGTTCTTTGCCTACTGACTCCACATTCTACCGCGCCACAATTAATGCCGGTCATTAGGATGCAAATGAGTGGGCAAATTGTCAGGTTCACTGTTGGTTAATTGATTTTCACGGTTTGTGTGACATATTTTAATGGCGATAACTACTCTAGGTATTCCCCATGGAAATTGGTTGAACCCTTGGAGGGGGGAGTTTGATGTGCTGAGGCGATTTCAGGCATTAACACTCCCCTATGACTGTATATCTCACCACCATAAATTCTACGCTTTCCATCCAAATGCCGTATTACTGTTTAAATAATATTTATGCTAATGGTGGAATAAAAATTCATTTAGCGGAAGGGAGAGAGGGGGAACTCCATATCGTCTCTCTCTTCCGCTCTCTGCACTAATTCTCGTCGTAAATGAAATCGTAAAGTTGAATATATACACTGCTCCATGCTGCTTGCCAGTGCTGGGAGTTCATGGCATCGCGTGAAATGCGGGTGGAATTTATGGATGGAAGTTAAAAAAATATAAAATAAGAAATAATACGTATAACGCAGCACGCTCGAGTACAATACTCAGCCGACACGCACGTTTGACTTCTCACACGGAAAGATTGCTATCACGAGCAATGTTCAATTAATCTTTCTTCCTGGAAAGGTCGAATTGTAATGAATTGTTGACTGTCAGTTTGTGTTTGTCAACGAGAAACGGTGATCAGGTTTCCGTGAATGTGATTGATGCTCTTTCTTTTAGATTGTCGGAGGGATCTAATGGCAGGAGTTCATTCACTGGAACGTTCACAATGCTTTCCTCTCCCCACAAAAAAAAAACCAGCAAAATGACCTAGGGAAAATTGTGGTAAATATCCTATACAGGATGTTGTCAATAACTGCAGGGTCAGATCCTGCATATCACGATCACATGCCAATCGTTTGAAGCAACTTCATCCTTTCATGACACTATTGGTGTGCTGAAAATGTTGATTAAATTCCTGTGGACGTAATTAAGGTCTTCAAGGTCTTTTCTTTAAAATTTTCCCAGGGATTTAATAACAGAAGTTCACTTGCTAGAACTTTGAGATCGTCTCCCCGAAGAAAATTCAGTGAAATATCCTGGGAAAATTTAGTAAAATACCTTATGGAAGATGAAAGATTGCTGAATATCCAGAAAAATTTCCAGGAGATGCTGAGACTATCATCTTCACATCTCATTTGTACTCTCCCCGAAATAGCCTGATGAATTTGATGACGAGAGTTTATTGAGGGAATATCTGGTGTTCCCTCTCTTGGAAATGGAAAACGTCGCTAGCCGGAGAGTGGTGCACTGGCGGTCAGTAAACTGATGTACAATAAGCATACCTATGGAGTTAGCAAAAGCAGGACAGGCTTCTATGATTGACGATCGTCATTTCCGGTGACACGAAACGACGCTGTCCGCATCCTTCTCGAGGCTGGTCCACACATGGTTCATACTCTCGCAGAAACTCCAACATTGTTGGAGTGAGACAGGTTGAAAGTGAGTGAGTACTACAGTGCCATAAACGTAAACACGACGTTGGCTTCACCGAGAGAGTGTCCTCTCGCTCTCGTTGTGCAACCTCCGTAAATCAAACGGTAGTGCCATTGCGACAACGCCAGGCTAGTACAGCATGAGAGTACCCATGGATTTTCGGGGTATAGCTATCTTCCTACGTGCTCTCTCATAGGCTTATTGCACATTAAAGGATCTCTCCATCTCGTTTTGCGACCCCTTGGATGGCTGATCACTTTGGTACCTCGGCACAGCATTCGCAGTTAACCGTCACACCAAATGTATGGTGATTTACGTATTACAGCAACTGACGGCAAACGTTATGTCCATTTCTGTGGTACCAGCAAATTTCATGTGCCAACGTCAATTTTGATAGTGGCTTTGATTATGAGCAAGCGAATTGCCAAACTGATTTCCC